GATCATAAATCCATCGAATCGCCTATACCACTGTCGAGGAGATTGCTTCAAACTGTATAGCGATTTCTTTAACCTACAAACCAACTTATCCTTTCCTACAGCTTAGAATCCCAATGGCTGAGTCATATATGTTTCTTCATCAAGATCATCATGAAGAAATATTATCTTCACATCCAACTGATCTAACTGCAATCCATACTATGCCACCAAAGCTAGTAAAATCCGAATCGAAGAGTGCTTTACCACTGGAGAGAAAATCTAATTATAATCAATACCTTCCTTCTATGCATAGCTCTTCACAACCAACATAGCCTTGAACCTTACTGGAGTGCCTTCAATGTCCTCCTTTTTTGTGTATACCCACTTACAACCAATCGCCTTCCGTCCCTTTGGAAGCTCAACAAGCTTCCATGCATCGTTCTTGTGAAGAGACTCTATCTCCTCCTGTATAGCTACCTACCACGAATCAGCCTCCGAACTCTGCTCGGCCTCTTTGAATGTAGTATGCACCAACTCATCGATACTCTCCATCGAAAGTGCACATGCAACTACTGTGTCGGTATACTATGCTATATCCGTATGTCTCTCCCCTATCTCCGAACCGCAATAGAATCTTGAACTTGAGCCGTCGGTCTCCGATTATGCACATTTGTACTAGTATCCTCCTCGTCATCGCCGTGCTCTCCTGGCATCACCTCAGTCGGCACTCTAATGGATAGTGTACCATCTGGACAATGTAGAGCTGCATCGATCTCTACCACTTACGATATCTCCTCCGTCGGGTCGCTCTCTACCTGATGAGAGCTGAGAAGCTTTAAGATAGAAGCCTCATCGAACATGATGTTTATACTCAATATAATCTTCCTATCAACTAGATCCCATAGCTTGTATACCTTGATACCACGCTTGAATCCTATAAATATGGTCTTTCTAGCTCGAGGTTCCACACTTATCAGTCTTAACATGATAGTATGCAGGGCATCTAAATACCTTAAGCTGATCATAGTCGTGTGCTGGCTCTTCTGACCATATCTCCATAGGGGTCTTCTCCTCAATCGTAGATGAAGGCAGCCTGTTAATGACGTGGCTTGCATATGAAAGTGCATCAGCCCAAAAGATCTTCTCCAAACCACTATAGGCCAACAAACATCGGATCTTCTTTAGTAGAGACCGATTTAACCTCTCTGCCACCCCATTCTGCTGCGGTGTATGACTAACTGTGAAGTATCTCTATGCCCTCATCTCGATATAGCTGCACAAAGGGGTCTGATGTGTACTCGCCGCCATTATCGAATCGTAATGTCTTGATCTTTCTCTCAGTCTGTAGTTTTAACCTCTTCTTCCACTCCACAAATATATCTAGGATTTTACTCTTCTTTTCCATGATGTACACCCAACAACGTCTAGAATAGTCATCAACGAACGTGACGAACCAATATTGACCACCAAGTAATGCAGTCTTGGTGGGACCCTAAACATCTGTGTGCACATAATCCAGGATGCTCCTCGTCCTATGAATGATAATCCTGAACTTCACATTCGTCTTCTTTCTAAGTACACAGTGCTCACAGAACTCAACCTTTCCACTCTTGGCTTCCTTCAATAGTCCCTACTTACACCGTGACTGTAGTGACTTCTCTCATGTGTGCTCCAACATGTAGTGCCAAAGTCTGCTCATGTCCGCCTCTAAAATAGCTGAAGCTACTTGGCCAATCTTGGTGCTCCCCTTCAGATAATATAAGTTTCGACTGTGGACTCCCTTCATCACCACCAAAAATCTCTTAGTAACCTTTGCTACATCATCCTCAAATGTCACCTTGAATCCCTTCGCCTCCAAAGCTCCAACTAATATAAGATTCCCTTTAGGTAAGGAACAAATCTCACCTCCTTCAATTCACAGACTACTACATCGTGCATCTGAATCCTCATGGTACCTATCCCACAAATACCACATGATTGATCATTTCCCATGACAAATTCACCCCCATCGAGTCTCTTAAATGATACAAACCAATTTCGCCTAGGAGTAACATGATAAGTAATCTTATACATTCAAGTGATTCACCTCCAGAGTAATTAGTAGAGAAAAGCTCGAATCATCTGAATCATCGCTTCTCACAATGTTCACCTTATTGGCCTTCTGACCCTTTTTCTTGCCATTCTCCTTCTCCTTAAGCTTTGGACAGTCTCTCTTCCAATATCTCTGCTCCTTATAGAATGCACATTGGTTCTTTGCTAAATGGTGATGGCCTATCGACTTTGACCTGTCTCTATTACCACCTCTTGGATATGGGCTTCTACCTCTCGTCGACAAGGCCTCTCGTGAAGTACTAGCGCGGGAAGTCTCCTTGTCCTTCCTTTTTAAATCATAGTTCGTCAAAGCATTAGTTACTTCACTATAGCTAATAGAAGATCTCCCATTCAATAAAGTAATCACAAACGTATCATACTCCTCATCCGGTAAGGAGTCCAACAAAATAATCGTATTATACTCATCTGATATCTTCTCATCAACATTCGCCAAGTCTGATAATAACTTAGTATAGTTGTTCACATGAACTGCTAGTGAGGTATCCCTGGACATCTGAAATCTGAATAACCTACGCAATAAGTGCAATTTGTTTTCAATACTCTTCGTAAGGTACTTGTTATTGAGAATTTCCCACATCTTCATTATAGACGTCACCCCAATCACATCATATTTCAAGTCCTGTTCTAAACAGGACCTGATCACCCCATAAGCATTTCTCTTCATCTTTTCTCATACCACATCTTCATATTTTGGTGGCCTCTCATGGACCATGATGGTCTCCTCCAAATTCTGAGCATTGAGCGCATCCTGTACGTCGCTCATCCATAAACCAAAATTGATATTGCCGTCATATTTAACCATACTAATTTTAGTGTTCTGAAAACCAACTTGAACTGTACTCGCCATCTTGCTGATTTTACCAACTTCTTCACCCATACTCACAAACTCTAAATTGTAGAGGAAAATCCAAACTTGATAAAATTTAGAAGTTACCCAACTGAGTCCTAGAACAGATTCCAAAATAGATCTCCTAACCACACGAGAAAAGCGAAATATTCAATGGCAACCCCAAACACTATCTCCATCGAAGCCTAGAATTTAAAGAACTAAGCTTCTACGATGAATCTTCCTCCACCTAATGCCAAAACTCTAGATCTAAAATCTGAGCTCTGATACCAATTATTGCGCGCCGTGCAAAAGCATGCTCGACAACCAAACGAGTCTGTAAGCACGAGAGAAGATAACCAAACCAAACACGAGCACAATCCCATCCAAAATATGATAAATCAAACCAAACATAGAGACATACGTGGTTCAACAATTTGCCTACGTCCATGGTGAGAGAATGAGGAGATTCTACTAAATCAAGGAGAGTACAAAGGGTTACAATCTCACAAAATCACTCAAATAAACCCTAAACCAAATCTCTCAACATGCTCATAAGTTCTCCCTCTCAATATGCTCAATATAATCTCAAATCTCTGATAAAGAAAACCCTAAAATCGTGTTTCAATATATATCAAAACACAAACCAAATCAGAACCGAAAATAAAACCCAGGCCCAAACTCGACTGGCGGTTGACCGCCAAAATTGTTGCGGTCGATCAGACAGAACGACGAAATCCAAAAAGCCATTAAAGGGTTTGGCGGTCGACCAGACCTAATCTCGCGATCGACCGTTCAGAACTCCAGAAACTACCCTATACTCGTGTACGTTTGCGGTCGACCGCGCCAAAGCTCGCGGTTGATTGGCAAGCACCCAAATGCCTATCTGCTTTAAATTTTCTGAACTTTACCAATATTTTCGCTATTTCTACATGAATCTCATGAATATATATGATTAGATTGTTCTAATTATTGGTTGTGTGGATAGATTTTTGTGTATATAAGTGGTTGGAATTTCGTGTATATATGCAGTTAAACTTTCGTGTATGTGGTTGGACTTTCGTGTATAATGTTGCAAAATTCTATATAGAAAACAGGTTGTGAATGAGGAGGAAAAGACGCTGTGCGTGCATGTTTATGCATGTCATGCAAGTTCACAATATTTTGAATCCCGTAAAGTTGCAGAGGTCAATTGACATAGAGTTCAAAGTGGAGTTCTCTAGCAATCTAACCCTTCAACTTCACGCGATTCACAAATCCTATGAAGTTTGCAGGCTTTCAATCGATGGCGTGCAGGCTCACTCTCAACCGATGGCAGGCTCGACAGCTTCATGGGATTACCAATCCCCATGAAGTTTGCAGTGAAACAAGCTTCACGAGATTTGCAATGAAACAAGCTTCACGAGATTGGCAATCCCATGAAGATTGTTTTGATTAATTACCTAGATAATTTCGTGCTAAACTTGGGATTCGTAGTCCAGTGAAGTTTTTGCAACTTAAATTAGCATTTTCACTCCAGTTTCAGCCAGCTAGCTAAAACTGGGTCAAAAATGCTAATTAAAAGTGAAACATGACATTTTTTGAAATTAAATTTATAAAAGAGTTGGTTTTGAAAATTTGTCCTTAAAATATAACAAATTTGGTAAGTTAAGTAACAATGCGATGAGGGTTGGGGGCTAACATAGAAAAGCAATAACCTGTGAAGATTATTTTGATTAATTACCTAGTTAATTTCGTGCTAAACTTCACAAGATCCTCAATTTTGTAAAGTGTTTGCAACTTAATTAGTATTTTCGCCCTAGTTTCAGCGTACTCGCTGAAACTGGGTTAAACATGCTAATCAAAAGTGAAACGGGTCAATTTTTGAAATTAAATTTATAAAAGAGTTAGTTTTGAAAATTTGTCCCTAAATATAACAAAATTGGTAAATTTAGTAATAATGCGATGAGGGTTGGGGGCTAAGTTAGAAAAGTATAATGGTGCAACTTCTCTGCAAACCCCTAGATTAACCAAAATAACTAAAGCGCCACGAGCTAAAGTACAAAACTGCGTCAACAAGGGGCAAAAAATAAAAAATAAAAAGGGAAAAAGAAGAGAACAATCGTCACCCTTTCAGAACGAAGAGAACGAGGACAGTTTCGCGACAGGGAGATCAGAGAAATTTCCATTCATTCGTTGAAATGGTTGGAGATTAAAATTTGAAAGGAGAGAAAAGGGGAAAAAACACGATTCGCTGGTATCAAAACCCTCAAATTTCTTCGTCGTTGTTCAAATTCTCGCCAAATCGAAGAAGGATGGCCGAGTTCGTGGAACGACTTAGGGCATCGACTGCTCGATTTGGGGGCGGGAGAAGGAGCAGCTTTGGATCGGTGGATTTGAGCTCGTCGAGGCACGGCTCGTCGTCGACGATCAGGCTCGGCCGCGTCCAGCCTCAGGCCCCTGGTCATCGCACGATCTTCTGCAACGATCGCGATGCTAATCTTCCTGTTCAATTCAAGGTTACTTGTTTAGATCTGATTTCTTTCTGTTTTTATTTTTGAATGAGTTGTTTATTTCTTTTGGTTTTATGGGATTATTTTGGATTGTTGGAAATTATACTAACCATGGACCTAAATTTAAGGAAAATAGTTGATGTTTTCTGCTTAATATGCTAATGATATAGAGTTGTCTGATCCTTGAAATGTCTTTTGATTTCTTTTGCGTAGTTAGATCTTAAACCAGACATCAAGTAGTCTAGATCATCTAATTTTAATGCTGTTGCTCTCATTCTGTGATCCTTTTGACTATCAATATATGCAGAAATTGCTTCATATTTAATTTCCAGTCATGCATTGTATGGAGATGCCTATAGAAAGACATGATGATAGTCTGTTGCCTCCTAGAAAATGCTTCATCTGGCTGAGGTGAATGACTTCAGTAAGAGTAGTTATGGTCTAGTTCAAAGATGGAGTTGACGAGAAGAAATCCCGATTCTTGAAAAACTTCTCAATTTACATTGCAGCATAATGGCCTTGGACATTGGTAGACATAGAATGGAAGCAAAGTTGTCCGATCGAGGTGCACAATGTGCAATAATTTCCATTGTCAGATCAAGATGCATATTGTGCATTATTTTCCATGCACACACATTGTAATTATGTTTGCTTAGATAAACTTATCAACGTGCTATAGTTAAAATAATTAATTTTACAACAATAAATCACAAAAATATGACCAAGTTTGAAACACAATCAGATTAACGAATGAGAGATGCTAAAATTTTTTAAGTGAAAATACAAGTATGAAATTAGTTAGCATATTAGGAATATGATAGTTAGAGAAGATTGTTTTGTCCTGTGTAATTGTAATTTATTTTATTTACTAAAACCAAAACATGGCTATCATTATCAAGGAAGGATGAAGTTTACTTTTCCATGCTAGTAATAAAATCCAACTAACCCTCTCCGGAATGAGGCAACTTTTCTAGCGTAATGTTACCAAAGTCAAAACCCTAAACTTAGTTATTTTTCTTAAGCGTAAAACTTGAGGCTGTTGGTGGCAGGAGGGTTGCTGTCTCAAGCAGTATCTTCATGCTAGTCTTTGATAGCTTCCTCTCCGTGGTAGAAAGTCTAATAATCACATATCTAAATAATATAGTTTCAAGAGAATGGCTATATAAAAACAATATATAATTCAACCACATCAAACATAAACATACATTTGCTAGAGTAAATAGCTAACCTTTCCAAATAGTAGTGAGACAAACAAGCCATCAATATTAGGGAAAATTGCTTCCCATTCCCTTTGCCAAAAGAACAATGCATTCCCCCTTTGATATTAAAATGCATGTTTCTAAGCCCTTTGTCCCAACTTTTCTTTCTTCCTCCCTTTTTTTCTCTTCCTCCCTTTTTTACTCTTATCCCTAAAATAGCCTTCATCTTCCTCCTCTTTTCCTCCTTCCCTCCTCCTGTACTCCCTCTTCCTCTACCCACCTTCCTCCCTCCACCTATTTCTTTCATCCCACCTTTACTCTTCTCCCTTCTTCTCCATTTCCGTCTCTGACATCCTCCTCCATCCTATCTCCATCCTAATCTTTCATGAACTTGTGATCTCTTATGAACCCTTTCATCTCTCTTATGACCTATGAACCCTCCCTTTCCCTCCCTCCACCACTGCTCCTGCTACAATCTGCTCCTCCACTGCTCCCACCTCAGTCAAAGGCATTCTGAAGTTAGCACTTAAAGTTCAGAGTTAAACTTTGAGTTTTGAAATTAGCCTATGAGCTTTAAAGTTGACATAAAAGCCTCCACTCCACCTCTGTGTGTCTTCCTCCTCTCATTTCCGTTCCTTTTCTTCTCCTTTCTCTGTTCCTTTTTACACCTTCCTCCTCTGTGGCTATGTCCCCCTCCTCTTTCTCTTCTTCTCCATCCACAAAACAACTAAAGTTAACAAAACAATGTGTTAACAAAAAAAAAAAGTTAACAAAACAACATGTCGAAGTCAACTACTTAAAAAAAGGTTTAAAAATAACATGTCAAAGTTACCAAAATAACACGTCAAAGTTACCAAAATAACATGTCAAAGGCGCGCCAAAAGTTAACTTATTGTTCAGAATTAACATTTAAGCTTTAAAGTTAAGAAGCAAGCTTTAAAATTAATGTAAAAACCTCTATTCTACCTCCTTGTTCCTCCCTCTTCCCATTTCTGTTCCTTCTTCCCTCCCTCCTTCGTTCCTCCTACTCGCTTTTCTGTCCTTTCTCCTATTCATCTTTTCCATCCACAAAACAACTAATGGTAACGAAACATGTCAAAGTCACAAAAAAATTAAAACTAACAAAACATGTCAAAGTTAACAAAAAGCTATAGTTGACAAAATAACATGTCAAAGTTACCAAAAAAAAAAAAAAACAATAACATGTCAAAGTTAACAAAAAAAAAAAGAAACTAACAAAACATGTCAAAGTTAACAAAAAACTATAGTTAAGAAAATAACATGTCAAAGTTAACAAAATAACAAGTTAACTTTAGACCTTCTATGTTAACTGTAAAGCTTGAATGTTAACTTTAATTGTTAAGTGTTAACTTTAATTGTTAAGCGTTAACTTTGAAGTGTCTTTACAAGATGAACCTTTTAGTCAAAGATGATGGACCTTTAAGGGATGCGACGATGGTTGTGGAAGGAGGAGAGATGATTGACAAAAGAGAAGAAATGACGGAGGAGAGGCTGCAATGGCGAAAAAGATAATGGTTGAGAAACTATGAGAAGAAAGAGGAGTATGCAATGGCTGAGGTGGTGGTGGTGAAAGAGATAATGGCTGAGGAGGAGGAGACATGATTCATGGGTTCATAAGTAAAAAAGAAAGATGAAAGGTTGAAAGTGAGGTATTTTGGAGATAGTAAAAAAGGTACATATGATCTTTTGTGTCAGAAAGTAAAAAAGGGGCTAGGAAGCATGACAAGGTGGGTGAAAGGGCTTGGAAACATGTTTTTTCCCCAAAAGGAGGGCGCACTGTTCTTTTTGCAAAGGGTCAGGGTGGCAATTTCTCCTTAATATTAATCAATCATCCCTTAAAATCCATCACTGTCATCCTGTAGGAATGGGACATTGGTCTTGTTTACCTTCATTTTCTTCACTCAACCACCTGTTCCTTCCTTTATTTTTATTATTACTAGCATTCAACTATATAATTGAACTGCACCAAACATATACATACACTTCCAAAAGTAAGTTGCTAACCCTTCGAAATAGCAGTAAGAGAAGTCATTAATATCAATCAATCATCCCTTAAAATTTATTACTATCGTCATGTAAGATGGGATATTCATCTTGTTCATCTTCACTTTCTTCACATAACTGCCTATTTCTTCCTTTCTTTTTATTAATGGCATTCAAGCTTCTGGTCTTTTTGATAATTGGCATGAAAAAGCTATTAAATACATGAGAAATGGAAAATTACACAGTTTAGTGGTTGACATTTGGTAGAAATTAATAGGCGAGTCCTTCCTGCTTTCCATTTTGGGTAACAGTACTTTACCCTCCTTCAAGTTCAGCGCTCTCATGAATATCCAACCAATGCTACTGTTCCAACCGTCAAGGTATTTTTTTTGAGGCCCTGTCATCATTGATTTTAATATAATAGACAAATTGAATCATGGACATATCCAACCATAGATTGTGTTCACTAAACGCTATGATGCTGAGATTTATTTGCTCTTAACTATTCGTCCAGATTGTGCTATTAGAAGGCTTGACCTTCGAATTGCTTATTTGAAATAGGAGTTAGGGATTGATAGCATCCTCAAGAATGGAAAACTTTACATGATGAGTATATTGAGTAGTTTCTAAGTTTCTATTGACAAATAGAAAATTTGGGTTTGGATGCTCTCTTTTAATGAAAGATTAGACCGGTTTTGGAACTTGTAATTGTAGAGAAACAACGAAGGTATTTTTTATTGGATTTGAAATCTGTTTATAATTTGAGTCTGTTACATAAAATGTCATGTACCATGAGATACGTTTGAGTCTTGACCCAATAAGCATATGCATAAGATACAAATTAGTTTTTCTATATGTTTCATTGAATCATAAGGTATACATCACTTATCATGAAATATTAACAACTATCAGGAAGAAATATTTCCTCCATGACGCATCTTGTGATCGAAGTATCTATTTGCATTAATATTAGCCATTTACTCATGAATTCTTATTTAGACCTTCAAGAAATTTTGTAGAATATCTTTGTTCAAATAAAATAAGGTGTATAAATTTAACTAGTTGTGATCTTCAAATTTTTGTGTCACTAAGAATGATGTTACTAGAAATTTAGTTTTGTGTGATATTCATATAGTTTCTTTTCCTACCTTTCAATGTTGTTTATTGGTTTTCCCCCTAGCTTTAATTGGTGATTTCAATTTTATTGATGTAAAACTAATTTGTAAGGATGTCAGAGTGGCATTTCTCTTGATTGCAAGCACAATTTTATAATCCTCCATGTTACATGCCTTTAACTGTAATTTCCACAACATTGCCTCACCGTTTCTACATATTGAACATGATTGCTGACTTCTGATCCAGTATCCAGAATTGGATATTCACTAAAGCACACCTTTTTTTCTTAAAAAAGACTATTGCAAACATTTATGCCATTTATTTATCATCTAAGAAACTGCATGAACCTACAATTTTTGGTTGATTCAATCTTTTATCTGTAGTACTTGCACTGTGATTCCGACAGGATCTTGCATTTTCTTTTCCTTCTTTTTTTTGTTAGTTTCCGTTACTCTTATTTAATTGCCATTATGGTATTCTTTTCAGGGAAACTCCGTATCAACCACCAAGTACAATCTTCTAACGTTTTTGCCAAAAGGGTTGTTTGAGCAGGTTCCTCAGTTCTCTTATCTTTTTTGTACTTCCATATAATATCTCACCTCCAATGTTTCATTCGTGCTGTACTTCTTTTTCCACGTTATTCTACTGAAAAGTACCCTTTTTTTACTCTTGGCAGTTCAGGCGGGTAGCCAATTTGTACTTTCTTATGATCTCCATCTTGTCTACTACTCCCATGAGGTATGTTTAGAGACCGCATGTATTCTTATTTAAGAGCAACTTTGTCATCTGTCTTCTGTTTTGACAACTTCTTTACTTTGCTTTTTCAGTTCTTTTAGATAAGCGATATGTTTTCTGTAAATTTTGATCATTAGTCTGTGGACCGCAGACTTAATTAATATTTCTTTTTACTAAGGTACTGTATGCCTTTGCAGTCCAGTGTCCCCCATAACAAACGTGCTTCCGTTGAGTCTAGTGCTTTTGGTTTCTCTTGTGAAGGAAGCTTTTGAGGATTGGGTTAGTAATGCCTTTGGTTATTCCATGCTTTTATTTTCTGTCAAAATTTATTTTTCATCTTTTTAACTTCAGTTATCATTTACATTTGTTTGTTTTCTGTGACACAGAAGCGTTTGCAAAATGATAAAGCAATAAATAGTAGTCCTGTGGATGTATTGCAAGATCATAACTGGGAAAGTGTACCCTGGAAGAAGCTGCAGGTTGGGGATATTGTAAGGGTAAGTTTCACATTCTTGCTATTGCGGTAGGTTTGTGCTGAGATTGGAGTCAGTTTTTGTTTTTTGGTATCCTGAACACTGGGATAATGCTTGCCATTCTGTTAAGAACTGAAGATGAAATCTATTTCTGCTAGTTGGTGCATCATTCGCTTTTGGACTGTATAAAAGATATTATACAATCTACATATTATTATATGGGTAAAGTATTATTCATCCTAAAAACATAATTCTTATTCTGATTTCTTTCTCTTGACATGGAAGCAGTGTTATCAAAGGCATGTGCCTCATTGTGCCTTTTGCACCCTGCAATGCGGGGTAGGGACAAAGCGCCCTGCATCTGAGGCGACAACGCCTTTTTGCTCCTCACAAGTGTCCTACACGAGGGCACTTTGCAGAGGATGCATGCAAGCCATAGCCTCGTATATTTTTTGTTCTTTAACATTTGAATTGATCTTTATACCCGATAACTCATAAGCCTAAAAGAAAAATATACTAAGTAGGCCATTTTAGTAGCTCAATTGAGGACCTTAACTCATTCTCATTTATTATTTGATTTTGATTCGTATTAGTCGTGATCACTATTATAAATAGCAGTAAATAGCGCCGCTAATAGCGTTAGCGGTCCCTTCCCGCTATGCTAATACTCAATGGCGGTGACATATTACAAAATATGTGCTTTTTGCTCCCAAAAACAGCCAATATTGCCATAGCGGTGAATAGCGGGCGATTGCGGGCAAAATCCGCCTTTTGACGCTATCTAAAAGCAGTTTGAGGTTTATTTTTTAAACTTAAATCCGACCTGCAAACACTGCATCCTACCATCTGTCGCGATTTTTGGCGTATTACCACCGCCTCCTGTAGCCTCCAGCACCTTCCTCAACGCTTCCTCTCATCTCCTATTGCCGTGAGCTCCTCTTACTGCAGTCCTCTCACTGCTCAGCTCATCTTTTCGAATATGATAACTTTTGACTCCTCCAGTCGTCATCAGTATCATATGATGGTTACATGTCTATTTCATGTTTAGGATCTCTTTAAATCATCAAATATGTACTTTTAAATTTTCTAGATTTTTCTTTAATTTTTTTGAATATTTATACATATCTAAATTAGATCACTATTTGACTTTACGCTTTTTACCGTTATTTTGCCGCAATAACCCCAAATAACC